GCATTTTATTTTAAAAAATCTTCTACTTTAGCATTTTAATTTCCATTTTTAATTATTTGCACATTGTATTTTTTAAAATTCAACATATTTTTAGCAATTTTTTTTCCTGTCAGTTATTGCCTTTTCAAAATTCAAAACAGTTATAGCATTGTACTTTTAGTTAAATTTTTTTAAGCTTTGTAATTTTGAAAGTTCTTTTACAAATGCAATTTACTTTGATAAATCTTCCAATTTAGCATTGATCTTCAGTTCTGTTGTTACAATATTGCACTTTTAGTTTTAATTTCGGTCATTGCATTTTCACAAATCAAAACATTTACAGCATTCTACTATTTGTTCTTAATTTGTTTGAAGTCTTGAACTTTTAAAAAGTTTTTTATCAATGAAATTTATTTTGAAAAACCTTCCAATTTAGCATTTAACTTAAAAGTGTTTTTTTTTTATTCGCACATTGCATTTTCAAAAAGCAACCCGTTTTATATCAATTTTTATTATTGTGTTAAAAAAAAATCGACTTTTATATTATAACTAGCATATTGCATTTTTAGAAGTTTTTTTTATCAACGCATTTTCTTTGAGAAATCATTGGCATTGTTATTTTAGTTCTTAATTCTTTTAAATCTTTGGAACTTCTAAAAATATTTAATTTGAAAAATCTTCCAATATAGCATTCTACATTCAGTTTTCTTATTATAAACACACTGCATTTTCAAAAATAAACCATTTATAGCATTTTTTAAAGTTAAATGCTTTTAAGTTAAATGCTAAAGTGGAAGGTTTTTCAAAATAAATTTCATTGATAAAAAACTTTTTAAAAGCTACAAGACTTCAAACAAATTAAGAACAAATAGTAGAATGCTGTAAATGTTTTGATTTGTCTTATAAAGCATTTTCATTTTTTTTTTTTTATAATTGTGTTTTCTTTGAAAAAACTTCCAATTCAGTAATCTACTCTAGTTTCTTATTATTTTGCATTGGAATAGTTTTTAATAATTATTAAATTTTAAAAAATGTAACCATTTACGACATTGCATTTTAAAAAATCAACCTATTTTAGCATTGTACTTATAGTTTTCAATCATTATTGCATTTTTGAAAAATGAATCAATTATGGCGTTGTACTTTTAGTTTTTAATTATTTGAAAGTTTTGAAAATTTGAATGTATTTTTCTCAATATTTTTTAATTTAAAAAATCTCCAAGTTTAGCTTTCTACTTTTAGTTTTTTTTTTTTTTTTATTTTTTTATTTTTTTTTATTTTTAATAATAGCACTTTGTATTTTTAAATATCAACACATTTTTAGCATTGTACTTTTAGTTTCAATATGTTATTCTAAACTTCAACTTTTCTTTATATCATGAATTTTTACTTTTAAAAATCTACCAGTTATCATTGCACTTTCAGTTTTTTTATAACTAGCATATTGCATTTTTATAGCATTTTACTCTTAGTTCTTAAGTCTTTTTATAAATCATTGTCGTTTTTAGAAGTTATTAAAATTGCATTTTCAAAATTCAAGCCAATTTTGTAATGTACTATCATTTATCATGCATTATTCCATTTTTAAATTTAAACCATTTATGGCATTGTAATTAGAGCTGGCAAAAACTGACCCAACCCACTAACCCAACCCAAACCCAACCCAAAATTAGCAGGTTGGGTTGAGATTTTCAACCCATTTATGTTAAATGGGTCAACCCGTCTAACCCATTTAATTAAATAGGTTGGGTCGGGTAAAAACTATCAACCCGTTTTCAACCCACCAACCCATTTAACTTTAATTTATATTAAATTTAATAATTATTAAAATATTATCATGTATTAATCTACGTATTAGTTTATAAATTACAATGTTTGTATTATTATTTATGTTTTAAAAAAATAGAATCCTAATTTCTACCTTTTTGCTTGGCGCCAACAACACTAATCACTCTAAAAAATCTCTTAGAAATTACATATCTTTGATGTTATTTGAATAATTTCTTTGTATATGTGAATTGTGATTGTGCTTTTGTCATACATTGAAATTTTATTTAAGTCTATAACTAATTTAAGTGGTGTGTAATCTTTAGTTATTTTATTTATTCTTTTTATTTTAAATGGGTCAACCCAAACTTAACCAATTTATTTAATCGGTTGGTTTGGGAATTACATAAACGGGTCAACCCGGTGACAACCCATTTATCTGAAAGGTTGGGTTGGGTTGGAAATATCAACCCATTTAAATAAACAGGTTGGGTTGGGTTGAAATTTTCAACCCAATTAATAAATGGGTTGGGTTCGGGTCGACCCATTGCCACCTCTAATTGTAATAAGTTCTTAACTCTTTTAAATCCTTGTAATTTTTAAAAGTATTTTTTCAGTGCCTTTTAATTCGAAAAATCTTCCAAGTTAACATTCTATTTTTAGTTTTCTTATTATTAACACATTGCATTTTCAAAAATCAATCCATTTTAATGTTGTACTTTTCATTTTCATTCTGTTATTAAAACATCAAACTTATCTTTCGTATCAACACATTTTACATTGAAAAATCTACCAATTATAGCAATTTACTCTTAATGCTTTGAAATTTTAAAAATATTTTTTTCAATGCATTTTAATCTGAAAATCTTCCAATTTAGCATTCTCTTTTTAGTAGTTTTTTTAATCAATGCATTGTACTTTATTTTTAGTCAGTTATTATTGCATTTTTAAAAATATAAGTAGTTGTAGCACTGTACCTTTAGTTCTTAATTATTTAAAGCTTTGTAATTTTGAAAGTTATTTTCTCAATGCCTTTTACTTGAAAAATCTTCCAATTTAGCATTGAACATCAGTTTCATTGTTACCATATTGTACTTTTAGATAACTTTTTAAAGCTTTGTAATTTTGAAAGTTTTTTATAAATCTTTGAAAAATCTTCCATATTAGTATTATACTTTAGTTTTCTTATTATTACTCATTGCATTTTAAAAAATCAACCCATTTTAGCAGTGTACTTTTCCATCTTTTTTAGATTTCAAAAAGCTTAACAAATACTGCACTGTATTTTTAATTCTTAATTCTTTTAAAGCTGTGTAGTTTTTAAGAGTTTTTTTTCAATGTATTTTATTTAGAAAAATCTTACACATTTTTAGCATTTTGCTTATTGCATTTTCAAAAATCAAAACAGTTATAGCATTTTTACCTTTAGTTCTTAATTTTTTTAAAGCTTTGTAATTATGAAAGTTCTTTTACCAATGCAATTTACTTTGAAAAAGCTTTGTAATTTTTTTAATTCTTAATGCAATTTTCATATTGTTACTACAGTGTATTTTCAAAATCAACATTTTTTAGCACTTTACTTTTAGTTTTCGTTATGTTATTCGAAAATTCGACATTTCTTTCATATCATGAAATTTTACTTTGAAAAATCTACAATTTATAGCAATGGGACTTTTAGTTTTTTTATAACTGGCATATTGCATTTTTAGAAATCAAATAACTAGCATATAGCATTTTTAAAAGGTTTTTATTATTTTTTTTTTATCAAGGCATTTTTCCCAAAAATTATTCACTATAGTATTCTACTTTTAGCACAATGATGCTCAAAAATTAACCCTTTTTAGCATTGGTACTTTTAGTTTTCAATCATTTTTGCATTTTCAAAAACTTAACCATTTATGGCATTATATTTTTAATTTTTAGTTCTTTGAAAGCCATGTAATTTTAATTTTTTTTTTCAATGCATTTTATATTGAAAAATCTTTCTATTTAGCATTCTATTTCCCATTTTCTTATTATTAACACATTCCACTTTTAGTTTTAATTCGGTTATTGAAATCGTGTAACCCTTAAAAAGTTTTTTTTATCAATGAAATTTATTTTCAAAAAGCATTTAACTTAAAGTGTTTTTATTATTTGCACATTGCATTTTAAAAAATCAACCCATTTTATCATTGTACTTATAGTTTTCATTATCGTATTAAAAAAACCGACTTTTATTTTATAACTAGCATATTGCATTTTTAGACGTTTTTTTATCAATGCATTTTCTTTGAAAAATCCTTCAATTTAGTATTCTACTTTAAATTTCTAATTATTAGCATGTTCCTTTTTAAAAAATTAATCCATTTTAACATAATACTTTTAGTTTTCATTCTGTTATTGAAAGCTCTCATATCAAGGAATTTAACTTCGAAAAATATACCAATTATAGTATTGGACTTTCAATTTTTTTTTATAACTAGCATATTTTGCATTTTTAGAAATCAAACCATTTATCGCATTTTAATTTTAGCTCTTATGTTATTTTAAATCATTGTCATTTATAGAAGTTTTTTCTCAATGCATTTTCTTTGAAAAATCTTTCACATTAATATTCTACTTCAGCTTTCAAGCATTTGTTTGTTTTTAAAAATTAAGCCATTTATGGTATTTTAATTTTTATAAGTATTTTTTCAATGGCACTATACTTTTATTTTATTATTTTTATTATATATATTTTTATTATTAACACATTGCATTTTCGAGAATCAATCCATTTTGACATTATTCTACGTTCAGTTTTCTTATTACTAACAAACACATTGCATTTTAAAATCTTTCAAAAGTTAAACCATTTATAGCATTGTTATTTTATTTTTTAATTCTTTAAAAGCCTTAAAAGATACTTTTCATTTAGTTTTCTTATTACCCTATCAAAAGCATTTACGGTTGCAAACCTCTCAAATGGGTATTTAATCTTTTGAATTTGATCATCATAATTGAGTTTTAGTGTATTAATTTTGGTTTAAATCACAATAATTAGTTTTGGGTAAATCCACTATATATGATTGTGATAGTGATTATGTTCCCTATTTTAATATTTTTCACTTATTATCCCAAATGATGTTTTTAGCTAAATTGGGTGTGCATAACTTTTATGATATCTGATTGCATGTAAGTAAACTAGTTTCCTATGTTTTGTATTGGATTTAAGCAACTTTTATGATAGAAACGCTTTTCTATTTGCTACTCACTTGCTATATTTATTGCAGGATAATCTCATATTCAAGATCGTAGTCTAATGTCTTAATACATTAATGCCTTAATATATTAAAATAATATATTATATCACAAAAGTTATTCCCTATTTCTTAATTTTTTTTTCTTTGAACCTAGGTGAATATCCACACAGTTAAACTATGTACTAAAAATTATGACAAATATATGCTGTTGAAAATGATTATGTCTGTGATATGGACATTGAAGTAATAATTGTTACACTAAATTGTTAACAAAACTGTATATATATACACACACACACACATACATACATACATACATTAAAATTTGAAGATTTGTAGATTTTCAAATGAAATTATTATCAGATTTATAATTAAAATATTTTTTAGCTATTTTAAAAAATAAGCTTTTAAAATAAGTTTTTTGCTATCAATGCGTATTACTTTGAAAAATCTTCCATTTCGGCATTTTATTTCACCTTTTAAAAAAATATCACATTGCATTTTTAAAAATCAACTTATTTTAGCGTTGTTTTCATTATGTTATCAAAAACATCCAACTTTTCTTTCATATCAAAATATTTTACTACAAAAAATCTGCCTATAGCATTGTATTTTTAAAGCTTTGTAATTTTTAAAGCAATTTATTTTGAAAAATCTACTCATTTTGCATTCAACTTCAGTAATCTTATTCTTATTATCACATTGCATTTAAAAAAAGGAAACTACATAAATGGTCCCTGTGTTTTTAGAAATATAACATTAGCCATTAAGTTCAAAAAACCTCATAGATGGTCCCTATGGTTTTAAAACGTTTGTGAAGACATAATAACTGTGGGCTCACCCCATGGGGAAAACGAAGACCTGGAATTAGGTCATACTTGCAGGTGACTTTGTAGATAGAATGGGATCTATCTACGTGAAACTTCCAATTTAACATTTTTTTATATTCCGTTTTCTTATTATTAATATAATGATAAGAACTCAGACTTAATTTCCAAAAACGAACTTAATCAATCATGAGGCCAAAATCCAAAATGAGGTTTTCCGGTGAAAATTTCTTATAATATCCAAAAAGTTAGTTTATAATAAATACATTGGTTTTTGTATATATCTTAAGAACACAAATTTACAACCATATATGTAACAATATAATTAATCATGAGTGATTGAAAGGATTGATTAAAAATACCTAACCAAACTAATTATATCTAGATGCCCTAACGTATACTTCCTGAGTTCTAGCAAAGAAATGAAACGAAGTGGAAAGAAAGTAAGTAGATAAATTGTTTTCCAGAAAATAGAGTTGAGTTTGGATGTAGAAAACTGTTTTCATTTTACAAGAAATTGTTTTCAGAAAAAATAGAATTAAGAGTTTTTATTTTCAGATTTTAAAGAAAATTTTATAAAACGAGTTTCGTTAGAAAGTTTTCATTTTGCATCTTAGAAAATTTTGTTATACTTCCTATTTTTTTCGCTAGTAATTAAAGTAAATAAAGTGTTCAAGAACAATCTTGTGTATTTCTTTGTCGCACCTATTGAGCTTATATATGGGCACCCATATGGAATTGATCCTCCTCTACACAAGATCCGAATAACATGGCCCATGATGAGTTTCTTTGATGAAACAAATGATCACGTCTAATCTCTAATGGGACCTTATTGATGTACGTATTTGCTAATTAAGTGGAAAATCATATTCAAAGACATCCAAAATACCAAACCAATAGGGATGGATCACCCCTCCACCAATAGGAATCCCTAATTAGTAACTAGGTAGACCGAAATTCCTCGTGAAAAGACTTATTAAGCAAACTTTTATGGTTTGTCGCAATCATAAAAGTTCAATGATTATTTTATCTGTTGTGTGTTGTATATGTCTTTGTTACTATTGTGGTATTTTTTTTGTATATAATAAAAGTATAAAAGAACATACCACATGGGGTTAATTACATGTGCATAAACTAACAATTTCAACACAAATTATTTTGACGATCACGAAATTAAGTATTTTGCATGTCAAATAATTCAGTAACTTAGAACCAATATAGCCATCATTGAAAAGTAATACACTTATTAAACGTCATGTGTGTATGGTTCTACTAGCTTCTCATTATTATTTTTATATATTAAAGGTCTGTTTTCATAATATTGCAATAAAGAGAGGTAAGCGGGTGATAGGAAAGGAATCAGCTTCCGAAAATACCCCCTGTTAGAAAAGGAAAGTTTAAAAATAACAATTTTTATAAGCCTCCACAATCTTCTATTTGATTTTTATTTTTCTTGTTACCTTGTTTTAAATTTTACACCTATGGAATATAAAACAAAGTGCTCCATTTTTTAGGTAAAAGATTGAAATTCTCACACTTTATTAAATTTCTACAAACATGGTTTCCAAAGGTGAAAACGAGAAGAAGAAACTAATGTAGATTGTAGTTTGTAGCTTGTTTGTTAGCGATAGCATACCTTGATGGCTTGATCCAAACTAGATACATTTAAATTTATCTTGAACAGGCTAAATTAGACCACATTGCAGATTCCGTACATGATATTATCTTCCTAATATTGCAAGTTGCTATGCATAATAAATTAGTCAAAAAAAGACAAAAAGAAAAGGCCAAAACATGGATAAAGTGACCTTTCATATATGGTTAAATTTTATAATGCTAACTGCTAAGCTTCCATCATTAAATTCAAGCAATGTTTGGAAACAGTAGACATGTGAAGTTGATGACAACCAATATGACGTTTTTTATGACCTTGAAGATATGGATTGGCGACTTTCCCTCCAAATCTATGTCCCTTTTCACAACATCTAATGAATAATTGACTTTATATGTTAAATCAAATGAGTTTATTTTTATTTGAAACATAATCGAGTTTAAGAAATTGTTACTTCATTGAAAAGGACAAAAAAGATCGCAAGTCTATGGTTTCTTGCGATTTTGCCCAAAGATGTGAACATTGCTTTTTTATTTGTGGCTAACCGGGATATTAAGTTTTTTTGGTGCGAGCCATTAACATAAGATATATTGTAAGAACCCAAAATTTAGATAGATTTGACTTTGGGTGAAAAATGGACCAACAGGGCAACTTGGTCATTTAAGAGAATTTCATGAATTGAGAAAGTATAACGAGACCTTATGAAATTTGGTCAAAATAAGTCTAAGTCATTTTTATAAAATGAGATATTCAAGAGAAGAAATGTAAAAGGATTGTACATTTAGGCCATTAAGGGTAAAATAAGAATTTTATGCTTTTTGACCAAATGAAGGAGTTATAAGTGTTAGAAGTTTGGAAGAAAACTATGCCAAAGATGGAATGAAATCAGCTGATGAAGTTGCTGAAGTGCAGACATCGTGATGCGGGTAATACTCTTGCCACGACGCAGTTTACGAAGTGGTAAAATGGATGAGCGTTTCGTCGTAAGTAGAAGGCAATGCATTTTGCACCGCGGTGTTGTATATTGGTACCCATGATGCGGCGGCGAAAATAATATGCAGTGAAAATAATGTTATTTGAGAAACGCAGCGCGACTCGGTCAGATGGAGACCATAGCCTAATAGAGTGCACCACAACATGGTTTTTTAATAGACGCACATGTAGTGGATTAAAACAAAACTCATTTTTTTAGGCCATGTTTTTTATCGAAAAAAAAAACTGAAATATACCATTTTTTTGAAAAGTTAAGTTCTGTTTTTTATCAAAAAAATATAAATAAATATATCAAAATTCATAGTTTTTTGGTACTCTATAATCATAGATTCATCTTGATGTAAAAATCAAAATTTCAGTTCAGATTCAGATTATGAATCAGTTTAGATTCACAATATGAATAAATCAAGTTATTATTTTTATAAAACTAATTTATGTGTATTCAAAACGTTAAAATATTATAAAATTACATGGAAATATATTTCAATTCATATGTAAATTTTACTAAATTAATTTGTGAATGATCAGAGAGTTGAAATAGCAAGTCAGATTTACATTGTGATATTTAAAATTGAAATATTTATAATTCAAATTCAGATGCTGTTTGGTAGCCTCTTAATTGAAAAATTAAGAAACAACCTCTTAAAAATTTCAGATTTAAAGTGTTTGGATGCATCTTATTTTTTTGCCTCTTAATCTTATTTGCCTCTTAATTTTTCAGACATCAGATTATATCTGAAAAGAAAAATTATACGCGCGTTCTTATTTTACCCAAAACATGTTTTCTCCTCTCTTTTCTATTTCACGATACGACTTCCCCCCAAGCCATCTCTCACGACCTGAACCTTATTACTCTAGCCACCGGTCGATCATCGCCTCCGCCTCCCTCCCGCCCCGTCAAACTTGTCGACAACATCAGGTAATGGCTTTCTGAAATTGATTTTCTTCATCGACATTCCACAGACAACAACCCATCAAACTCCGCCAACGACATCGCCGCCGTCGGCCCGCCAACGACACCGCCTCCACCATCCCTGCCAACTTCGCCTGTCTCTCAAAATGATGCTTCAATACCTTCTGTTATACATTCATTTGCTCCGTGTGTGTGTTAATTTTGGTATTAATTTTAATTCTTGAATATCAATCATGGTTTACTTTTAAATGCCAAAATATATGGAGCACATCTTGGTGTTTGTTTTTTGTGCGGGAAAGAGTTGGTTGCTATTATGTGGATAATCGATCACAAAACATAGTGGATTCCTGTTATTCACTCTTGGATCTAGATCTCATGGTATTTCCTGTATAATGTTTTGAATATTTTTTTGAGAGCCATTATTAAGTTGGATGCTGTTCTGATTTTTTACACATAGTGGTTGCTATTTTGCATAATCATATCTTTGTCGTTTAAAAAAAACATAGATTCAATTGTTTATGATTTATAATTTAATATTTCATTTGTTTATTGATTATTGATTCAGTTTGTATAGTTTCTTGTTTATTATTTATGGTTCGATTGTTTGATTTGGTTTTATGTTTAATTTGTATTTTTTATGATGTTTATATTTTTTTTATAATTATTCAAGAAGTTGGTTTAGTTATTTTA